CCACAGAGATGCAGCCCAGGAGACCACAGCCAAAATTACCTGGAATTTCTGGTGCAAACCTCACCCTTCTGGTGCCAGCTGCAAAAGCCCAGTGCAGCCCAAGCCTCCTTTCCCTGTGTGGGTGGCTCAGGGACATGGGGGGGATGACACAGTCGGTCACCACCTACCTCTGCTGATCTGCCAGCTCCTGAAATTACCCAGGGTCAGAAACACTTGTGGCTGCTCCACATGGGAGCTCACCCAGGGAGGTGAGCTGATGTGGGGCTGCGGACACAAGCAGGGTGATGGAAGCTCCTTGTGATGGAAGTTTCCTGGAGGAGGCACAGTTAATGCAAGAAACCTTTCCACCTAGTACAATATTTCCAGGGGGAGCAAGGAGGCTCCTCATCACCTCTCTGGATTCCTCCACAGCTGGGAAACAAATCCACTGCCGGAACTCAAACCCCCTCCGCTTCCAGCTGCTGTCCCTGAGCCAGACCCCCACGGAGCAGCTCTCACATGGGCCAGCCGGGTCCCCGGCAGCAAGGTACGAGCCCTTCACAAAAACCTCTGCCTCTCCCAAACGGGTTCAGGACCTTGTTAAGAAAAAGGAAAGTCGCAATCATCCCAGAGAAAGTAAATTGGCATTACCTGCAGAGAGCGAGGCGCGGGGAGCCGGGCTCCGGCAGCAGGGCCGGCGGGCACTGCCACGCTCCAGCTGTGGAAAGCAGCATATACTGCTCTCCCTCCCGTTGTTTTTATTTTGATGATTTGGTCTGAAGGTCGAAGGAAAAGTCCGAAGGAGTGGCTTGTGGCAGGAAGTAAATGATTCCCCTGCCACTGCTCTCCAAGGGGACCAAGGCACCGGGAGCTGGGGTGGGAGAGGAAAATCCCTCCTTGGGGGGGATTAGAGGGCAGCTCGCCGGCAGGGAAGTGCAAAGGGTCAGAACAAAGTGCTCTGTTCGCCAGAGGCTGTGCCAGGTCACATGCCAAGTCCTAGCAGAGGTAATGAGGCATGGTTCACCTCCCAAACGCCAGCAAGACCTCCTGGATGTGGACATGACCCATTGCCCATCCACCAGCAATCCACGGAGCTTGCCAGCAAGGAATGAGCTGGGCGAGGTGGAGCCTCGTCCCCTGGCAGCACTGAGTCCGGGGCGGGAGATCCAGGGACTTTTACATGCTTAAACTTTGCAGGTGTGACAATCCTACAACCCCACTTCTGCCTCCTGCGTGACCCTCCTCTGGCTCCATGCTCCCCACCCTGGGCCACACGTGTACAGGAGCAAGCGCCTGACCAGCCGACAAGGACCGAGCCCTGTGGGCACATCAGAGCTGAGTCCAGAGGAGCCCTCTTGGAGCCAAAATCTACTGCTCTCCATTCATGCCCTCCCCCATTTGCTCCCTGTTCCTCTCCCTTCCCCTCTGCAGGTGCCCAACACCAGTGGTCACCACATCCCTGCGTAGGTGGGTGCCCAAATAACGGTTTGGTGGTTGAGCGTGCTGGTGGAGTCACTAGTGGACGCTGGTGGAGCCTCCAGCTCCTCACTCAAAATACAAACTTCATATGCAGGAGGCATTTTCTGATTACGCAGGAAGGTTTCTTTCACCCTCAAAAGCCCTCTTGCACCTGCCCCTCTCGTGGGAGCGGACCACGATGTAGTTGGTCGATAGGTCCCGCAGCTCTGAGAAAACATGAATGGCAGCACT